CCGCCGCCTCCTCACCGCCCCCGGCACGGCGGAGGCCGCCAGATCCGCCTCGTCATCGGACGGCCCGTCGGGCAGTCCTGGTGCGTCGTAAGAGATACCCGACCCCATACGACTCGTTGCCAGAGAAGTTTACGCGTGCCCGTCCTACGCGCCCGGGCCGAGACGCGCCGAGCGGCGCGCGCGCGCGCGTGGTGGTGTCGGGCCCGGATCGCGACGCGATCCGGCGCACTCCGGCGCACGGCCAGGCCGCGTCCGCGGCGGCCGCGCGGCCGACGGCGGCGGCTCGCGCGGGACGCGAAACGATCGCTCGATGGCGCCCGGAACGCGCGTGCACACGGACACGACCAGCGGGACCGTGGACGAAGAGGCGACGTCTGCGTGCGGGTCATGCGCGACCCTCGCGCCCTGTTCGCTCCAGCGCCGCGCCTTCGAGGACCGTGGCAGAACCGCCGGCGTCGACGCCCGGACGTAGTCGACGCCCTCCGCCGGCGCGGGCCAGGACTTGTGCGTCTCGTGCGTCACGAACGTGACGCGCGGTCTATCGCGCACGACTCAGCTCGAGTGGGGCGGCAATGCGACGCGCGGCACCGCGCCGCGCATGCCAAGGCGAAGCAGCAGAGCACCGGCGCCAATCGCTCGTGTAGCGCCGACTCGCTCTCGAGCAGCGCGTCGAAAGCGACGCTCTAGGCGTTCGCGCTCGAGCCGCTCGTCAAGCAGCACGTCGAAGCGATCGAGTGGCTCGTTCACTGCAGCGGTGGCGCCGAGGCGCTCATCGATTGCGAGCACATCTGAGAGCGCTCTCGAGAGCTCGAGGCCGCGGGGCGGGCGCGCCGGCGCGGCGTGCCCGCCGACGACCTCCGACTTGACCTCCGCGCCGCGCGGTCCATGGCCCCAACGCCCGGCTATATACGAATAGGAGACTACATAAGGAGGAAGACAAGGCCGGCGACTTGGGGCTCTCGCGGCGACGAAGCCCGGGGCGCGCGGCGCGGCGGCGGAAGGGCCGCGCGGCGCTCAGCCGCCGGAGTACGTCCGCCGCAACTTCGACGGGGAGAGCAGCTCGCTCTCCGCCGGCCGCTTCTTCGACGGCGGGCGCGGCACGGCGGCGGCCGGCGGCGGCGGCGGCAGCGCGAAGCCGGAGGCCGGCGCGGCCGGCGGCGAGCGCGGCGGCGCTGCGGCGGCCGGCGCCGGCACGGCGACGCAGCGCAGGTGGCCGTCGACGACGCGGAGCTCGCGAGCTGGCGGCGGCGGCGGCGCGAGGCCCGCCGCCGCGGCGTCAGCCATGGGCGCGGAGACCGGCGCGTCGTCCTGGAACTCCTCCGGGTGATCCTCGATGTAGCGGAGCTCCGCCTCCTCGAGGGCCTCGTCG